GGGGGGGGGGCTTACAATGGTCAGCTTTTATTCATTAATGTAAAAACTTTATCCCAAAAGGAAGAAATGTGGCTGTAAATGTTATCTGGGGTTCTACCTTAATTTGTTTGTCAAGTCCCTCTACATCTTCTAGTCCATCTAACACTACCCTCTCCACAAGGGGACAATGCTACTGTCCAAGGGTGGCTCCATTGCTCCTCCATACAGGGCAGCCACCCTGTGTTACTGCCAGATCACCAGATGAAAATAAAGGGAAGAAAGCCTAAAAAAAGAAAACTAATGCAGCCAGCACATTTAAGGATTGGCAAGCTGCAATATAGTACATTTTTAGTTTGGGGTTTAGATACATTTTAAGTGTTAGGTTTAAGGTAAGTGTTAGTTAAAGAACAGTCTATAACAGTCTATTTCCCAGTGCACTCCAGACCAGAATCCCAAATCCCAATATAATAAGATGGGTGCTGGTATGACCTCCGGATGGCGCCGCATGAATCCAAGTACAGAGGTACTCACCAGCACACCAATATCCACATTGCGATTGCCCGCATCAGAACGTGTGGCACATCAGTGCCTGCATTCCAGTCCAGTGCAAACTGCAAAAATAGTGCTTGCAGCATTGTTTATGGTATGAGCTGGCCCTAAAGGATTGGTAAGCTGCAATATATTACCTTTTTCGTTTTGGATTTAGATATGCTTTAAGTGTTAGGATGAAGGTAAGTGTTAGAGTTAGTTAAAGGTCCAGGGTTTTTCAACAATTACATATCAGCGTTGAAACCTAATAAAGGAGGGAACATCAGCAGTTGGAACTGGTTTCTTAACCTCTCTGACGGTGTCCTCTTGAGAGCAGTTAAATGGCCGTGTGTACAAATAGTCTCCATTTATCCCAATATGAATTACCATCATCTGATAATTCCAAGTATATTGTAACGCTAATGGGGCTCAAAGAGAACAAATATATCTGCCAGTCATCTAGCATGCTATCTGTATTACTTGTTTGTCCATTTAACAGGACGAGATGTCAGAATCTGGCCAGTCCTCAGTGGCAGCAACACCAAGCACCACAGGTACAAAATCCAATACCCCCACGTCATCCGTCCCATCGGCAGCCGTGACCCCGCTACACGAGAGCCTCCAGCCCCTTCAGGACTACGGCATGACCGGAAAAAGCAAGAGGTCTCGGGAGAAACGACACAGCCATAATATGGAGGTGCAGGTGACCCAGGAGATGAGAAATGTCAGCATAGGTAATTGCAAATAATGTTTTCTTGGAGGAAATTAAATGTCACCATTGTTCAGTCATTTGCCCTGCTTCACCTGTGTCTTGCTGAGCCTCTTCTATCATTGCAAGTCAATTAGACAGGGTCCGTCTGATTAAAAAGACATACTCTGCCATCTCTAATGATTGGTAGCTAGAGAGACCATGTGATCTATGGTGCCTAGGTTGGGAGCTCATATTTTTTTTTGTAAATTGCAAAATAGTATAGTATACTTTTTGTACTTGTATTAAGTTATGATTATGTTAAGCACAATTTGGAAATGCAGACATGTTTCCTAATGGTTTATTTAAAGCGTAGGCGCCAATGAACCTAATCAACCTGATTCCTTTAGGTGTATGTGAACCCTGGCAATGAAATACTCTTTTGTGCCCCCTTTTGGTCTGTAAAATATATCATTGAAAAGTATAAAAACATACCTGTTGATCCTTCCAGAAAACCGGTGCTGTCATGTGCACTCTGCACTGTTATTTCAAGCAGTGTTATCGGCCCTGCCTAGCTCACTTCTGCAAACTATAGAACGCCCCCTCCCTCTATTATGGAGGTGTTCTGTGGTCCGAACACACTTATGTCCTAGGGTAGCAATACTGCTCCTCCATTGATACAATGCAGTGAGTGAGCGTTGTCACCCTAGGACAGGATGTATGTTGCTGGCAGGATATCCAGGTGAAAATTAAGGGAAATAAACATCAAAAAATAAAGCTAATGCAGCCACCACATCTAAGGGCTGGTAAGCTGTACATTATCACATTTTTGTTCTTGGGATTAGATATATTTTAACCCCCTAAAGATCATAGTGGTATCAGGCTGAGTGTGTGGGCTGGCCTACACTTTCCTTATTTTGATTGAGCTTGTTAAAATGCATGAGGTAGCTGTATGTCTGCAATTAAATATGTAGCTTGGAGGTATCCAAACTTTAGCCCTCCGGCTATTGTGGAACTACAAGTCCCATAACACATTGCAAGACTCTAAAAGCCACAGACATGACTTCCATGGGAAGATGGGATTTGGATGTTTCACCCCAGCTGTAGTGCCAAAGGTTGGCTTCCCCTGGTGTAGATGCTATATATGGTCACAATACACTGAATTGCCAGATTATTATGACCACCTGACGTTTGTAGGCAAATTAGCTATAATCAGCTATAATTTTGCGCTGAAGTTGCTAGAGGGCCAGACCATTATAAATAGGGAAGCAGGTTGTTTACCACGACAGTAGAAGTGATTTTTTTCTGAAGATATGGGTAAACAACGCGATTTAACAGCCTTTGAAGGTGGGATGATTGTTGGCGTGAGCCATGGAGCGAGTATCAGCAAAACAGCAGAATTTGTTAAATGTTCAAGAGCAGCTGTTGTTAAAGTGTTTAAAGACTGGACTGTCAGCTGAAAATCTGGGTCTGAAAGTACGAATTGTGGCCGTCAGCGACTAGTCAATGTTAGGACAGAACGGAGAGTGGCAAGACTGGTACAAGACAACACAAGGGCAACAGCGCAGTGTCAGATTCCTTGCATCACCTTTCAACATCTCGTGGAGTCACGAGGCGGCCCAACGAAGTCATCTCGTGGCCCAACGAAGTACTGATGGGGTGGTCATAATAATCTGTTTAACAGAAAGCCATGCTGAGACAAACGCAGAGACTGACAATCCTGACTTCTCTTGAAAATTATAAGTACCTGGCTGTAGTGCTGATGGTAATGAATTCAACACCCCCCTACCCGCCAACCCCCCTACGGAGAATGGCAGACCTGCAGGCTGCATACAAGTGATCATTGTCGAGATCACTTGTACAAAACAAGCAGCGGCTTCCCCGCTGTACATTTAGCTCTGCTTGCCCAAAGCAAGGCTAAATGTTGAAAACAACTACCCGCCGGCGCCCGGAACTGCATGTCCTGGGCATCGGGAGATAGGAATTCCACACCCCTGCTGCCCCTCTACTCCCTGCTGTGCCGAGGCCGGGCCTTGGTTGGCCGTGTGGGAAATCCGGCCCTGCTTGTGGTGCCATTACTTGTTAATGGCACCCCAAACGTAGCTGGGCAGTGATGGTGTGAATGGAGCCTCAGTCAGAAGAAACCCCACAACCCATTGTTCACTTATCAGGATTCCATACATGTGTAGGCTGACAGAGCACTGCAATTTTAATCAGTGACAAGGCAGATGTATGTACGTAGGCAGGCATGAAGATAGATATTTTTTCACTCTAATTCCGCTTTAAGTGTTTTTGACACCGCTGTTAAATGACTGGGATTTCCACTACCATTGACACTAATTACTGGGGGTATTGTACAGAATGATTGGCATCAGTGTCAGTCTCAGCACTGCGTGGTAAAGATCAATATATGTTATATATATTAGAAAAGATAATGCATTCCTTACCGCTGAGCTCCTGTGGTCTTCTGCATTTAATATTGAATATCTAAAAACCTCATAAATGACTATAGATTGTGTAATATACTCCATATTATTCATAGGCAGTATAATTTCGAAGCAATGAGATGAAAATTGATAAAACATTAATTAAAGTAACTTTAATAAAACATTTGCACTGGCATTTGACAGTTTTCAGGCTGGTAATTGGAGCCTAATATATATAATGCTCATGACTGATGAGAAGCCTAGGCCTGGAGAAAAAACCCAAATTGGCTGATATTCAGCCTTGCCCAATAAAAGACACCGACAACAATTAAGTTGGAAAAGGGCAAGGCCACAGCTTTATTTCCAATTTAAGCATAACAACCAAAACGTAACCAGTGCCAGTCACAGTTAAACTGTGAGCACACCTGAAAGTGGGGTACCTGTCTTTACCATCAGTGCCAGACAGGCATTAGACTGTTATAACTTCAACCTGAGGGCATAGCCCATTAAAATAACATTCTTTAGCTGGCAAGGTCAGACCGCCAATAAAGCTGTGACAAGCATTTACAACTTGGGAGGGTGGGTGGGCAACTTCTTCTGGTGTTGAAGTGTTCTACACACTTGTGGAATGTCACTGTTTAGTCCTGTATAGTAACATGACTCCGCCTGCTCACACCGTAGGATTGTAGCCAGTCACAAAGGAGCTACTTTACATGCACATATAAGTTAACGCCTACTTATTCGGCCATGCTTGCATCAGTCAAGGCTACCTTTAACTATCAATTCAAGGTGCCTTCATTATTTCCTTTTTCCTGTTAAGCTGTTTTTCTAAAGCACTCAATTGAAGGAGGGTGACAGTCTGAGTATTATCAACTTCTAGACTTTGGGGTACTAATTTGAGTAAACCTTAGAAGACCGAAATATGCGGGCTGCCATTACAAAGGTTGTCATGATGCATGATCTGCCTACTCTTCTTCTTTCTTCTTTTTTTTCTCTCCTCTTCTTCTTCTCTCTTCCCTCCTCTTTTTCTCTCTTATTCTTCCCTTCTTTTTCTCTCCTGTTCTTTTTCTCTCTTCTTTTTTCTCTCCTCTTCTTCTTCTCTCCTCTTCTTTTTCTCTCTTCTCTCCTCTTCTTTTTGTCTCTTATCTTTTCTTTCTATATCTTTTCTTCTCTTCTTTTTCTCTCTTCTTTTTTTTCTCTCCTCTTCTTCTTTTCTCTCCTTCTTCTCTCCTCTTCTTCTCTCCTATTTTTCTCTCTTCTTCTCTCCTCTTCTCTATTTTTATTCTCTTCTTTTTCTCTCCTCTTCTTTTTCTCTCCTCTTCTTTTTGTCTCTTATCTTTTCTATGGGGTTTTTGTTCTGTCTTCTCTACTCATTTATTTCTCCTTGTTACGTTATTCCCCTTAGACTTTCCAAGGTATCAATCTTTGTTGGTGGTGCACCCATTCAAATTAATTCCTGTATTATGATGTTTGTTCTTTTTCATGTGAAAAGGCTAATAAACTTGTATTATATAAAAGGGTTACCATGTTTATGCTGGCTTCACTGGGCTGGAAATAGTATGCAGGCTGGCACTTTAGACCTTTCAGGCTTTGGTGGCCTCATTCTTGTTCTAGATCAATGATTGGCTTTATTAGGATGACTTATTCCAGGAATGGCATGAAAATTCTTTCCTTTCCTTTAAGTGTCGTTGTGCACAATGTTTCTTGCTTCGGTTTCATTCCTCTACCACTGTAAGCCATTTAGGTGCCATTTTGTATTTTCCTCCCACATACGCTTCAAGATACTTAGTAATTATCATGATACTTTTGTTATTGGTAGGAAACTTTCATATTCATATGCTTGTGAGACCATATAGTACTTTAGATCCTTGTATGATAATATGAGGTGCTCCTCCCCCAGGCATGGGAAGCAGTGATGAGTGGTCTGATGTCCAAGATATTATCGATTCCACCCCAGAACTGGACATGTGTCAGGATCCAAGACTAGAACGTACAGTAAGCAGGTGAGATCTGAAGATATCATCATTCAGTTCACCACCATTGACCAGACTGGTCCTAAAGTCCCTCATCCTTTAACATGCTCTGTATTATTTATTGTCCAGTCCAACACAAGGCATTGTAAACAAAGCTTTTGGAATCAACACTGACTCTTTGTACCATGAGTTGTCCACTGCGGGGTCCGAAGTAATCGGTGATGTTGACGAAGGAGCAGATCTACTTGGTGAGTAGATTTCATAAAGAAGCTTTAAACTACTAATTAGAAATGTATTATGGGTACTGTATGTGCTTAGTATTTTTTCTCTGCATTGACCTTTTACTAGAAGAAAGATCCTTTAATTGGCTGTTCTGCATGAAGGATCATTGATCTCTTTATTTTATTGTGCTCTTTAACGACTGCTTTGCCTTCTATTTTTTTGTTTGCAATCATGGAAACCCTTCATAACGCATGAGCTGAAATTGGTGCTGTGTCAGTTTTAATTGCTCATTATTATTTACAAGGAACAAGAGAGAAGGAGTTTTTAATGTTCACATGGACAAAAGTGGACAACATTTCATGACGTTTTTAAAGCTGAATATATTTAAAGGAGTAGTGATACTGGGAGAAAGGGAACAAGACTTCCTGTTCAGTAGACCCATATAAAAATACTGCAGCCAGGTTTTTTAAAAGGGATAAAACAGGAATGGACCGAATCTGTATCTCTACACTTATGTTATACATTTTTTTTGCCCTCAACCCACCTCTACCACCGCTAGTATTGTACTCAACTGTCCCTGATTCAGCGTGATAATGCCACTTGTCAAAATCTTCTGACTAGGCCTGCACGTGTGCTGTGTATTCTCAATTCATTCTTATGGAGGGTTCGTACTTTGCTGGAACACGGAATATGAACCCTCCATAAGATTAAATTGACAGTGCACAGTGTATGCCACTGGATTGGTTATAGTCTAGTATATGACTGGCATTGTGGGCTGTAGGCAGTAAAAGATACAACTTAAGTGTAATTATCCAAAAGGATCTGGTGCACTTTAGGGGCATTCCTGCCCCAAGATGGAATAGATAGCCAATGCTCCTTGGCTCCATCTAGTGGTGGGAATTAAGTGCGAACAGCATTCACCCAGCATATGGCTGGGTGAAAGATTTATAAATAGACCCCTAAGTATAGAGATTCAGATTCTTATGAATGCCAGCAATGGCAGCTCCCATTTTTCCATTGTCAGAAATGAGAGAATTCTCTCTTTAAAGGATAAGTGAACTTTAAAACAAAGTGCAATTATTGATTTTGCTCCCTTCCATAACCAAAACTACCCTAACCTCCCTAGATGCTTGCTTACCTCAAGGTAAGGTGCAGCCTCCATTTTTTCTCTACATCCCAACCCATTCATCTTCTGTGCTCTGGCCACCTCTACAGAGTAGCTTTCCATAGTCTATGGGACCGTCTATTGAGCATCTCTGGCCTCAAGAGGCAGACCTATAGAAGTTTTTTAGGAAGCTAATTTGCAGGCCTGGAAAGTGCACAGAAGACATCCAGGTTGCTATGTAAACCAGCTGCAGTGCCTGTGGACCACCAGATCAAAGATAGTATGCATCTGGGAATGGTGGGCTAGTTTAGGTCAGGGAAGGAGGTTAAAAGCTCTTAAGGATCTTTCAGAATCCCTGAGTTTCATTTTTTATTGAATACTTTGGAAATTATACATTAGAAATAAAGCTACACAAATGAATGTTATAATGTATGAAATGAATGAAAAAATTACTATAATATACCTGGAGACCAAGCCTATGTATTCATAGTCCAGATGTCGTAGTGATAATCTACATTTTCTGTTTGTTATCAGGGAGGAGTACCATAACCTTGCATGTCCTAGCTAGTAATGGTATGACTTTTGTTGGTTAAAAGCATTGACTGACCCTATTTTTCCCTCTGTTACCTTCTCTCCCTACACCCCCTCATGTCACATCGCCGGACGGTCTGCACAGGAGAGTTCTCAGGTGTGTATCCCACCTTTGCCATCTGACCTCCTGTTCATTTTCTCCTCTCCTTTTCCCAGAATCCCGCCTTACTCCTGAGTGAATGGCAATCTTCCTTTCCTGGCTGGTTTGTTGCCTTTAAATAATTAGACTGCAGTTCACTTTTTCTTATTACGTTATACTAAATATTTGGTGCAAAGCCCATTTAAAGTCCCATCAGGCTTTATCCACTCTTTATTAGTCATATTTAAGCACCATATTATTACCACACATGCCACATACACAAAGGTGTTTGATGGACAGAATTGCTTTGTTTGGCTTTAGAAACCAACCGCATCCTCCATTTCATTATCTCATACCAATGTGGAAGAATCAAGGGAAGAACTTAATATGTTGCTGTAGATAAAAACACAGCTCTCACTTATCACTTATGCATATCTCCGCCTATATTTTACAGCCCATTTATAAAATGCAGGCCATAGTGTGAAGCCTCTGATGCCCCACATAGTTCTTTCTGCCTTACCCAGCAGAGAGATCTCCATTATTGTGAATTTGACGGTTCACGTGACTGGACTCTACTCCTGTCTTTTTCTTCTCCCATTCATTTTTATTGTGCTCCGCTGTCTTTGGACTCCTTAAATAAGTGGACTCCTTCGGATTCCTAAAAGTACAGCACATTTGTAATGCACACCACTGAGCATTATAAATGGGCAGTGTTTTTTTTTTTTAAAGCTGTGGTATGCCTGCTTTTTAAATTGGCCCCTAAGACCCAGAGGCAGACCCCATTTTTTTAGACTACTTTTTCACTAATCTTTATGCTGTTTATTTTTTGAGGATGAGGGGAGGTTACATTCTAATTAATGGGAGTTTAGTTACCAAGATGGCCTTAGAGTGACTGTCCTTTAAAAAACCTGCTGTTGGTATAAAGTGCAGGCCACGAGAACTATGTGCCCATACCTGCAGTTAGCTTAAAAAGCCTCCCATATGGCTAAACACCAGGGAATTCTGACATGGAAAGCTGTGATATTACCCGGAAGTGTTAGAGCTTGCTACTACCTCCCACCCTCCATACACTTCTGTTGGTGTAACACTATGATGGGTTGCCTCACTGGCCAATAGGAATGCACAGGAGGCATTAAGGGGTGGGCCCTGCCTTTTTTTAGGAATGGATCAATGAAACATTGTCGTGGGGAGTACTGTGATCTTTTTTTAAAAAAAACATTTAGCATGCCATTTACACATAACTTACCATAAGTGTGGTCACCTCATGCCAGGTCCACTTTGGTAGCTGGGATAATAATAATAATTAGGTTCGGAGCTCCACCCTTGCTTTAAAAACTGGTCATATACTGTCTTGCAGCTTATTATTGAATTCAGTTTAAATTAGAGAAAGTAGAATTATTACAATTAAACTCAGATTTATATATGTTGGCTTAATTTTATTTAGTGTTATCAACATGCATGAACCTCCCATGTAAAGTGTCTGATAGGAAAGTGTTTATCATTTCCTTAGCAACCAATTATATCCTTATATCCCTTTTAAAACGAAAATGTAATATATTGCAGCTTACCAGTCCTTAGATGTGGTGCAGTCCTTAGATGTGGTGCAGTCCTTAGATGTGGTTTCTTTTTATAGGCTATTTTTTTCTAATTTCACCCGGTGATCCTGGGAGTAACATACTGCTTGTCCTGGGGTGACAATGCTCACTTGCTGAGCTGTATTTGTGGAGGAGCAGCATTGTCACCCTAGGCTGCTTTCCGCACTTTGACTACAAATGCCTCTCCTCAGCTCCATGACATAGAGGTGAGTTGTTTTGTAGTTCACAGAAGACAACTGACAAAGCTAAAAACACTGTTTGATACAAGAAGTTACAAGGGCACTCAATTTCTGAGAGGATAAACAGTCATTTGTCTGTATTCGCAGAAAATGTACTTAGACCGACAAAAGAAAAATAATGCAGCCACCACATCTAAGGGCTGGTAGGTTACAATATATTACATCTTATCATTGGGTTTGGATATACTTTAATGTGACCCATTGGGAGATGACATGGGCTCTTCAAACACTTTCCTCTCAGTGACTTTTCTGAGGTCCATTATCCAGAGGGCATAGGTCAATTAGGAGTCATAGTGCATGGCAATGATTGCTATATTGGCTGATCTCCAATCACTTCTTAACTGCTGCTGTTTTTTTTCCACCTTTCCTCCTGCTGCCCCCTTTTCTCTCCCCATGTGGCTGCGCTCCTAGTGAGGGATGATTTCTTTGGTAAGGCTGAGGCTAACGTTCCTGTCAGTCCAGGCCTCATGTTCTTTTCTTGCAGCTTCTAAATTGTTTTCGTGCAAGGAATAAAATTACTATATTCATGTTGTATGATTTAAAATATATGTGTGTATGTGTGTTTCTCTGTGTGTGTGTGTGTGTGTGTGTGTGTGTGTGTGTGTGTGTGTAGGGGTGGGAATTGTAGTTCATTTTGTTCTAACATGTATCACTTGATTTCAGAAATGCATTCAACAGTAATTTCAAAGACAACTATTATAAAATATACATATACACTAGTCATTTAAATCCATTTTTTAAAACAAAACTTTTAAGCAATTACATAGTTGATGTGTAACAGTTCAAGTGAATCTAAACCCATTATACTTTAGCTATCTGCAGCTTTGACATGCGGTTAAAGCACAGTTTGGATCTAAGGGGTTGGTTCCTTCCCAGCCAACCTTAGAAGAACTTCTTCATCAGGAAGACACGTCTAAACGTATCTCTAGTTGTTACTCTAACCTACGCTGCATGGCCAAGAAAAGTCACACACTAATATTTCATTGGACTGCCTGTTAGCTTTGATTACGGCACGCATTCGCTATGGCATTGTTTCGATAAGCTTATGCAATAACACAACATAAATTTCCATTACACTAATTTTTTACCAAGATCTTGTAGTGATGATGGGAGAGTTGGACCAGTGCGTAAAGTGTTCTCCAGCACATCCCAAAGATTCTCAATAGGGTTAAGGTCTGGACTCTGTGGTGGCCAATCCATGTGTGAAAATGATGTCTCATGCTCCCTGAACCACTCTTTCACAATTTGATGAATCCTGGCATTGTCATCTTGGAATATGCCTATGCCATCAGGGCAATAAAAATCCATTGATGGAAAAACCTGGCCATTCAGTATATTCAGGGAGGCAGCTGACCTCATTTTTTGGGAACATAATGTTGCTAAACATAGACCTATTATCCAATGAAAGGCTCTTAACTACTTGCTTAGCTAGATCCAGGTGGTGACTTTTTTTTGGCCAGGCAGTGTATTAACTACTAAATCCTCTAAATTTCAGAAAGCCAATAGAAAATGACAGAACTTATTTCCCGAACCTATGATGGATGTTAGGTTAGAATTCTAAGACACCTATTATATATGCCATTGCTAATTTCCTCCAAAGATAAGATCATCCAACTAAAATATTTCCCTCAAATGTATAATACACCAGTAGCCCCACACACATTGGGCTTCAGTTACAAGGTCCGGCGGGCCGGATTCGGCCCGCGGGCCTTGTGTTTGCCACCCCTGCTCTACACTATTGGTATTAGCTTTCTTTATATCTCTTGCAGAAAGTGTGGAGTGATACCCTTTATTGGCTAACTTAAGATATTAAAGAAACAAGCTTCCGGGATGCCTTAGATCCCTTCTTCAGGCTTTGTGCATCTCTGAAAATAGTTCTGAAACCCACATATGTATACGCATAGTTACAAGGAGGAACAATAACTATAAATGTTTAAAAAATACATCCAATTTTGTTGACACTGGTAAAGGAGTTTAGGCTTAATCCTCAGAAATGTATAATGCCTGAAGAAGGCATCTAAGGTATCTCTTAAACTCCAAGCTTTCTCCATTAATCAATGGCTAACATGGTACAATACTCTACTACTGCTTTATAACTCCTGAAATCTCTGTGATACATTTAAATGTAATTTTCTTTTTAAACTAAAACTTTTTATTTAATTATGGTCAGAGTTTGGATTTTTTTTTAACCTCTGTATTTCTATTGCTAATTGTATCCCATGGAGATTTTTTTCCTGGTGACATCTTGTCACAGCTTGAAAGTGTTAAAACAATAGGGATAGATAACTTTTCTTAAGATGGATCTAAAACCAAAAATGTAATATTGAGTTTGTAATGGAGTAGGGAATTTTTAGAAGTTTGTCAGGTTTTTGTTTTGCTGCCTGTGTCCTGTTGGGATATTTCACATCACTGTACTGGAGACACTACAGGAAGAGAGAGGTAATGTCTTAAAAATAAGGAGAAATCCACTCTTGGGTAGTTGTCCCCATTGGAAGATTTCTCCTCTTTTTCTGTTCTGGTGACAACTGTAAAATTTAAGAATTTCTCTTCATTTTCTGTCCCAGTAGCAATGGCCACCAGGGCAAATATAGACAGTGAATCTCCCCAGTCCAGACACAGATTGCAATAAAAACCTGACAGGGGCTGTACACTTCCCCACTTCATTCAAAACTAGAAAATAAGGTTTTTGCTTTAGATACACAGATAGGAAAAGCATAGTAGTAAAAAAAATCTCCCTAACAGGAACCCAGCAATAGAAACATAACAGAGGTTCCTATTCTTTCTCACTCTGATCTATATAAAGGCTTGGCTGGAGTTTGGTTAAAGATGGAGGAATGAGAAAGACTTGAATAATGAGAATGAAAGTTTAATAATCGCCACATGAGTGCCCGGGGGCCCTGACTGTGTATTGCTTTTTCAGGGATGGGAAAAGAAGTGGGCAACTTGCTTCTAGAAAACTCCCAGCTTCTTGAAACCAAGTAAGATATTTTTTTTCCTGTATTGTAAAGTACAATTTAGGGCTAATGCTAGACAAGGCTCCTAACAATTGGATTGCGAGGTTTAAAGTGTAGCTAAACCCAAAAATAAATTCCAGTCCTACGATGACAACAGAGAGGGGGCGTTGTTATCTAGTCTATATCTGAGAATAATGTAATTGATTATAGTCAGGGCTGACAGAGAGCACAGGATTTCCAGCAAGAGCAACAGGTATTTTGTGTACTTATCAAACACATATGACAAAACGCTTTTAATGATATATTTAACAGACCGAAAGTGAGCAAATATTATGTTTTTGTTTTTGGGTTGAGATACGTTTTAAGAGCATTCAGGGCAGCTATGAAATGAGACAGGGGTTGCAGGAACAGGCTGCCATGTGGTCACTCTGTAGAAGTATCATATCCTAAGCACATAATATCGTTATTGGCCTAGCATACATGTTTATGCATTTGCTGGTTTTCGGCATGATCTTGGAGAAACAAAAATTAAGATCTGGGAAAATCCATTTTAGACATTTGTTTCATCCAAAATTGGTCAGTCAGGTGTTTTCCTTTGTAGTATGACTGTAGACATATATAACGGTTTCCTAACATTACCCTGGGCAATGATCATCTCCAGTCTGTAGTAGCCAAAGTGCATTTCTGGGCAAACCCTATGCCTACTACATTCACTCACTCTGATCCAAAAATACAAATTAGCAACCAATCATAGTTTTTAGTTTTTACTTTTGTTAGTATGCCTGTCAGTAATAAACGTGATTTCCTGTTACAGCTCACATGTTTTATTTTTATTGTATAAAATATTAGTTACAATTGGGTCCATGCCACGCGAGGGATCCTGTTGCTGGTGACAGTTTACCATTGACAGGATCTCTAACAGACCACTTACTTTTTGCTATGAAGTTTCCCTCTAGTGAGTGCAATATGGCAGAGTTCCAGGTCAGAAAGGGAGCAATTCAGTTATGGTAAATAGAAGCCCCTTCTCCATGATTCCAGCAATGTGTCGCCAGTGGCAGAATCACTCATGTGCCATGACCTTAGGAATGGTTCATTTGTTTGTATATAAAATTCCTCACCTCCGTCCACCTCCAACCCATTCAACAATTAAAAAAAAAGAGTCATGTGTCCCTTGTCGGCACCAATTTCCCTAGTGGAAAATGGTGATCCACCGCTGCAGTCTAATCCTACCACCAATTGGTCTTGCTGCCGCATCTTGTCATGGCATCACTATGCCACTGTTGGAGTCTTTAGAACCTTTGAGGACCTTGCCAATGGACAACCAAAGCGAAGTTTGGAAGTGTGGAAAGAAAGTGCTGGACCCATGTGGTTATTCTCCGCCAACACTAGTTAAATAATGTGAATATGGGTGATCTGACTATCGGATAGGAAGCTTCCGCAATCCAAAGGATCTCCACAGTATCTTTGGCTTGGCAGTGAACACAGTAGATGAAGGAACTAAAGCGCCACAGAAATTAAAATAGTCCAGATATAACTTTATTCCATTGGGGTTATGGGGCATTCAAGTCGGGCAGCCAGCACAATTTCAGGGGACCAAAACACCCCCTCTTTTATCAGGGCTTAATGGGAAAATCCTGTATGTGGACTAGAATCCTTGCAACTTGAAAGTTGTGTTGAGTTGTGATGGGAGTACTTTATGCTTGTCAGCAGCTAATTAGGCAGCAACCAATGAGAAGTGTCTACATCACCTGCCAGTGATATGGACATCCAAACAAGTATCCTCCCACTCCACAGCGACCACAGATATAGGTGTGCATATGGGGCAAATACATTTGAGTTTCATTGCTGCAGCATCTATCTAAAGGGCAATGGGAGGTATTTGTATTGAGGGGGGGGGGGCGGGGGCCCAGACTTTAATATAAATATGAATGAAAGAAAGGGTGCACACCTCATTAAAATATTGTCCCCTGCATTGGCTACGCACTTTTGGCATGAATAAAAAGAACACGTTTTTCATGTCCGCATTTAACCTGCGACATGGGACTTCTAATTAGTACTTCTGTCTTGAGAAAGAACTGATATTGGTCCAAAATATCACTGAGACTGAGCCACAAAATATCACTACATAATAGAATGAGTTGTGCATGTGTGCATTAGAAGAGCTATTTAATGCTTTAGAACGTGGAAGGTTACCTTCAGGTTACTTGCAGAAATGTATAGAAATACGTGCATTGTTTCTAACCTATCGTGTTCTTATGTTCCATTAATGTTTAATTTACTTGTCTAGGAACGCATTAAATGTGGTAAAAAATGACTTGATTGCAAAGGTGGATCAACTATCGGGAGAGCAGGACGTTCTCAAAGGGGAACTGGAAGCTGCTAAACAGGCCAAGGCCAAAATGGAGACGCGGGTTAAGGAGCTGGAGGAAGAACTTAAGAGGTATCGATGAAAATAAAACTTTGCTCTTTTGATTGCAGGTTCAGGTTGTCAGGACAGGAAGTGAAGGGAAATACCTCCAACAGGAACGAAAACAAAGACAAAAACAAATTTTCAGTAGAGTGAGGCAGAGATAGAACGTTTGACAATGTTTTCATTGCTGTTCTATACCTTCCAGTCCTGGTAATGCGCTCATCCTGCATTACTAGTATGGGCATCACAGGGAAGGGAGCGAACATCTCTGCACAAATTTCAGTCACAAAGAAACATAAACCTCACAGAAATAAAAAAAAAAAAAGGAAAAAATGGGTTGAGGTTGAGCTTTCTTTACCTGGCATAAGAAAAAATAAAGTAGAACATTCTATTTCCTCTCATTTTTGTTTTCTTTCTGCTTTATTTTAACCTGAAAATTTTTTTTTTTGCTTTACAATTAAGGGTGAAGTCGGAAGCCATTGTGGCCATGCAAGAACCCAAAGAGGAGGTGGATGAGGTAAGTGATTCTGCTGGGTGGTGAACAATCTTAATTCACGAGAAAGTATCTTATCAGTCTACAGGAAAACAGCTTATTTAGTTATATACACATGCAAAGTACATATTTTCTAACATCATATGCACAAGATTTAAACACAGTAGCAAGTACAATGCAGTATGCTTTCAGGTGCTTTGATGGTTTGCTTCTGAGTTACTTTGATTTGCCTATGAAGGCCACAATGGCATCTCCCCTATATACCTCATCACAAAGGCCCCTTAATTTTTTTTGGATCTGTATATTGGGAAGTGTCTCGCTTTCATACATTAAGGACACTGTCCTATGTACTATGCTAAATGTATATGGGGCATTTCCAGGAATTTGTTTTTTAACTAGCCCTCCTTTTCTTTATCTTCTTTCAGAGCTCTTCCCCCCTGCAGGATAACATCCCTATTGCTCAGCGTAGGCGCTTTACCCGTGTAGAGATGGCCCGTGTCCTGATGGAAAGGAACCAGTACAAGGAGCGTCTCATGGAACTGCAGGAGGCAGTCAGGTGGACAGAAATGATCAGGTAAGAACTGCGCTGACGTAATTCTTTCTAATTATATAAAGTTTGCTTTTTAATTTGTGTCTGTTTAGAATCACAAAACACTACATCTCTCATCATCTCTTTAATGCAAATGTACAGTGTGTTCAATACAATGTTATAAGCAATAGGTATTTACTTAAACGGTCATTTCACTTTTGTTTCTGTAGATATGAAAGACATCTGCTTACCTGCCATTTAGATTTTCTTTGCTGTTAGCAAGCATTATAGTAGTTTATATTGGTTAGTTTTTGTTTGCATGTGGTTTTTGGGCTTTGTTTTTTATCTAATAGCCCTTAGTTTGTTTTCCGGGGTCATGTAGGGAAGAAAGGGAGCATGTTGATGTTTAGGGTTGGCTAATTTTCTCCTTCCCACAAATCCCAGCATGCATTAGCAGACATTCTGTTTTCCTATTGTCACATGATTGGACATGTCCTAGGCTGTGCATCCTTGTGGGTATGTGCAAAGAGATCAGACACAGCCTACATGACCAACAAGAGAGCTGAACCCAAGAACGGAGACAAGGTGTCCAATGATGCTGAGCAGCCATGATCTCAGGATCAAACCGTACACCATGTTGTTCCAGCATAGTTCTGCCTCACATGTTCAGTTTTCTAGTGCGATTGCAGCTGCTCTGCATTTTCAGACTCTCTGTCTATGTCATTGGGTTCAACCCAATGATGGACAAAATGGACAGTTCCCAAACTAAAAGATCAATTTGCGCAAATATATTTTGCAAGAAACAAAACGCATAGGGTAAAACTATTAGAGACACACTTATTTATTTATTATTTACCTATTTTGGAAATACAGAACAATGACTTCCTATGTTGATGGCGGTGAAGAAAGTGGAAGGGATTCAGTAGTTTAACAAAAACAACTGGGCCAGGGTTGACACCATTCCTTGCAAAATGTAGTTCAGGAAAGGCACTTGTTGCCAGTGCACAACAGAAAAGTAGGAGCTGAGTGCATGTCTGGCCGAACAACGGATACTTGTGTGTAATTGCAGGGTCTTTAAAAAGATACAACATGGGGAAATCTGTTTGTTTGCAGAGATGTACTATGGTTTTTTTTTGCCTAGACATATGCTTTAATGGCACTACACACCAGGCTATTCATAGTACAATGCACGCCTGCGTATTGCCTCATTTGTTAATTCCACTATGTCATTGTCAAGGATTATAATGGGTTTTTCATTTTAGGGCCTCCCGGGAACACCCGTCCGTCCAGGAGAAAAAGAAGTCAACCATCTGGCAGTTGTAAGTGCTAATAAGTCATATTTATGACAGTCAGTGAAATAAATGTGGATGCTGTGTGATCTTATCCCTCAGGGGACATCTTGTCAGGTATTGGCATATGGATAGAACAGAAGATTTTTTTCAACGTCGCTGTTTTGAAAATGCTGCAGAGGTTTAGAGTGCAATGTTTGCTTGTCAAATCAGGGAAAGGAAAAATGCCCACCAAAGTCATCTCAGAAGCTCCCCACCTTCATCTTACTAATGCTAGTATGGAACGGGTCTTTAAATGTGGCTAAAGGGCAACAATAAAAATACACAACTCTTTTAAATTACATGCTTCAGAGATGCCTTAAACCTGCATGTAAAGTGGCACACCTATACAGTTTATGTCTGCAGAAGTGACATCTAGAAATTTAAAAAAAAAAATATTGCCACTAAATATTTGCCAGCTGCCTTTCTGCCTTTATGTTTGTAAAAAATGGTGTGCAGCCCCCCAAAATCCATACCAGACCCTTATCCGTGATAAAGGTTTGGTATTGATTTGGAGGTGGACCCTTGGCAAAAAAACAAAGATGGCGTGTGGTTCCCCCAAATTTAATACTAGACCTTTATTCTTGATAAAGGTTTGGTATGGATTTGGAGGTGGACCCTTGGCAAAAAAATAAACAAAGATGGCGTGTGGTTCCCCCAAAATCAATACTAGACCCTAATCCTTGATAAAGATCCGGTATGGATTTGGAGGGGGACCCTAGGAAAAAAAACACAAAAAAATGGAGTGGGTCTCCCCTAAATCTATATCAGACCCTTATCCAGGCATGCAGCCTGGCTAACCAGGAAAGGGGGGGGGGGGGCAATGAGTGTGCAGTCCCCCCCCCTCCCTTCTGAACCCTACCTGGCCATATGTCTTCAACACTGGGAGAAATTTCAAAGTGCTTTCACAGGCTCATTCACTTGATCTTATTAGTGCCAAAATAACTATTGCTAGATCATGGAAATCCTCAACAGTGAGTTAGGAATGTATTACTTGTATAATCATCTACTAAGAAATAACAGGCTTTGCTAATGAAATAGTGGCACTCTTTGAGAGGACATGTAGTCCCTGGATCAAATATCTACAAACATAATAATGAAGAGAAGATTCTGTTTTAGGATTGACTCAAAAGTCAAAAACACATAGTTGCGAGGATAAGCCCCGGGAAGGAGGGGCACAAGGGAAGGTGGGACTTACAGAGAGGAGGACAACTTACAGTGGTGAAGTGTTGCTGACTCTTCTGTTTACTTCTTTAGTAGCACTATTTGCTAATTATATCTGAGAAGTCTATATGGAATGGCTACCATTCTGTTCTACTCTTTCTCTAGTATTTTACTTCCATGGTTATAATTACTGATGAGACTTCCAGGAATTAGAGCAAGGGTCCTGGAAGCCTAGATCAATCTACATTAAACAAAACACCAATTCCCGACTCACAAATGCATTTTGTTTTATCAATGGTAGATATCTTTATAGACACATTACACAGAAATGAGACCGTAAACTGCATATATATTTAAAGACGGGATGTTGACAGTGGCATAACAACCGGGGGGGCGGCGCTTGCCCCGGGCGCAGGACTGAGGGGGGGGGCGCCGTCACGACCCCCACTAAACGATAGCTGGCCGCAGATGCAGTGGCTCCCTCTCTCTGCCACATTCACCCGGCTGTTATCGGGCGGCCGCTCGATCATGCTGGCCGGCCGGGTGCAATGGGGGGGGAGGGATGTACTGTAATTTGGGGGGTGAGGAGACCAGAGACCAGGGAGGGATGTACT